CAGAGCAAAAATGTGAACCCTAAGGACAAGTTACTTGGAAGGAAATCATCATTCACAGTTCCCCTAAAGGCCGGGATTGAGGCTGAAATTGGGTTAACTGTTGTTTTGACCAAGAGCCAGCATGGAGATGAAACCAGAATTTCTGATGTGCATTTGGTGAACAAAACATTTGTTTCTAAAAGGCCATCTGAAATCGGGGACGTCAAAAACACTCGGACAAAGGATCCCGGGCGGCAAACGTCACCTCAGCCCTCTGTAGGGGTTTCTGTAAAGAAAAGCCAAGCACAGCCTTCCAAACCAAAACCTGTGTGTCGGGAGACAAATGCCTGTCAACCAACTGGTAAAGCGATGCCCCCAACAAGCGTAGGTCATATCCGCATTGTCTCTAGAGTATGCCAGCCCGTGTCTAATATTGGCACTCCCAGTGAAAGGAGCTTTCTCATTAAATCTTCCAGAACTAACAAAGTGCAGCCACAGCGACCGCTGACTGTGCAGGTGAAATCTGCAGCCCATAAGCAGAGCAGTGACACTAAACCGAATGCAGCCGAAAAGTCTACTTCTTCATCAGCCATAGGACAAAGAGTCTGCCCTCATCCTGTATCTACGACCAGGACTGCGCAGAGTAGTTCAGCTCATACCTCCAATAAAGCCCTTCCTATTCAGAGCTGTCGCTCCATCAGTAAACCAGCAGTTTGGCAGAAAAACAGAACGATGACAGCCTGCAATCGCACAGCCCATAGACCACAGACTGGCAGCACTAACTGCACAAAAGGAACAGGCAGCAAGCCAGCAGTAACCAATACCACTAACCAGGCCCAGGATTCCAGTTCTTCCATCCTTCCCTCTATGACGGCCAATGACACCGTCGGCAATCCACACACTCCCAAAATGAGTGTAGAAGATCGCAGGTAAGTGGAAGACTTTATATTCTAAAAGTAACTTGCTGTACACTTTGTATGTAATCAGTTGACAGAACTAAAAGGCCACAGAAAAGTTCCCTTTGTGTGCATGTTAATGTCTGTCTTTGCAGAGCCCATGGCTGCAATACATTGAGTTTCTAGCATAGAGGAACTTCTGACTTTTCTGATCTGCATACTTTGCTTTACTTGTGCACAGCATGACACCGTGAAGAGGACTGGAGCAACCTGAGATTATTTGGCAGTAGCTGATCTGAGATCATAGTTGAGGTTATAAATGGTGATGGGTGTAGGGGAGAATAATGGGCCCTAATTGTAAAAAAAATTCAAGATTATATTGTTAGCAGGAGAATTGTAAAGCCCACTATTAGTTGCTCCCAGAACATTCAATCTGCAATTGTAATTTGCATTGCGTGTACGAGATATATCGGCCATAAAGTAAAATAATCTTAACAATATTCTGTTTTTTTAATTTTATTTTTTACTTTGAAGGAAGAAACTGCAAGAATGGCTGAACTCGAAGGGTAAGACATACAAGCGGCCACCCTTGACCCTGCCACCTAAACGACCCCCTACTGCAAAGAAAAAACCGAACCCCAACTCTTCAGTGTGGGAAGGAATAGAGGAGGAGGAAGAGCTGCTACTGCTGTCCCAGAAAATCAGCCAGACACTCAGCGAGTGCCTGGAACTCATTGATAAGGTAAGGGGTGTTGTATATACGACGATCGCTATAGTTGACAGGCTGCTGTATAGTTGTTGACAGGCTGCTGTTTTCTCTGCAAGTTAAATGAGTTTTCTGTGTCATGCAGAGGTTGTTGCAAGCCAGTCAGAGGAACATTCTTCATACAAAGCCTATATGGTTTTATAATAGGCTATCATTCACTGGCGGGCATAGAGAGACTGACTACTTCCAGGTAGCATAGAACGCAATGTTCTCCTTTTAGGCCCCTTTCACACAGGTGGTCTGATCAGGTCCGCCTGTCAGTTTTTCAGGCGACCTGATCAGATGCCCAACGCTAGTCTATTGGCACACGGGTCTAAACTGATGGGCGTCCGTTTACACCCGTTTCCCCACTACTCCGACCAGGTCCAGAGAAACAAACTGAACAGTGTACCGTTTTGATGGACCTGATTGAGCCGCATCAGGGGTAATCTGATGTAAATGGACACGTCCCTTTGCATCTGATTCCCCATAGACTGACAAGGGGGCCGGTCATATCCGTTATTTTCTCCATCGCAAGATTGAGTAAAATGCTGGATCGACAGGGATGTCAGAGGTTACATGCAATCCATACCGCTCCGATCAGGCAAACTTCAACAAACTTCTGGGTGCACTATTCCACAACATGCATTTAAAGCATGAAAGAACAATGTAAATAACGCATGTATTGGTGTTAATGAGCCATACATGGTCCCCCTTCCCACACACACACACACGCTCATACACACAGCATTACATTTACGGGCTACTTTATAACTCTTCCACCCAGGGCGAATAGTTTTATACCGGACCAATGGTTTGCTATGGATATAAATTGGTCAGGATCCCTTTTTAGTCACACAGTCCAGTGCGCATTAACAGTTTTTGTTTAATAATTTGATAGTCGAGTCCTAGAGTACATCAAGGCTTTTCTTTTAACAATTTGCCTTTTTTGTATCTAAAGGGTGTTCCATCAGAGGATATCCATGCCGCTCTGGAAAAGATTCCGGAGGGGAAAAAGTTTGCCAAATACTGGGTGTGCAAGGCTAAGCTCCTAGAAAGAGAGGGCGTCTCTGATGTAGTGGAGCTGTACAAGCAGGGCGTCCAGTGTGGAGCTACGGTAAGTTCTGAGGAACATCCTCAGACCATTCTGAGTTTAAATGTATTTTAATTTGGCATAATCCAAAAACCTTAACTGAAACCTTTCTTGCCATATGTTCATTTTTCTACTCTTTTATGCTGCCTTGGCATTGCTTTCCAACATGACAGTTCTTTAAAGGAGAACTATGAGGTGAGTGAAAATCACTCATCCTCATAGTTCGAGCCAGCTCAATAGATCGGGAAGTGAGCTCACTTCTCGATCATCTCCCTGCAGAGAGCAGTGACCGTTAGTCACAGCTCCCCGCTCTGATCCCCCTCCCCGCTCTGATCCCCCAGCGCTGAGTGGAGGAACGAACGAGGCAGGTGGCGGGCACAGCTGGCTCTGCCTCTAGATGGGTAGAGCCAGCTGTCACTCACACAGCTGGGTGGATGTCGACAGTATTGTCAGGATCCGTCCCGACTGCAGCGTCTCAGTATACCACGAGCTGTAGCTCGCTATATACTGAGCTTTGGGTCACGGGAGGAGATCAGGATATGACTTCGATACTGGACACAGCCAGTCTAGAGATGCTAAATGAATGTCAACGCAGGTCCCGAAGAAGCTTGCCGCTCAGCCTGACTACAATGAGCAGATCGATCAAACTATTTTGATGATGTGATTGGGAATCTTAACTGTTGTATGAACATTTCACCTCCTTAATATCTATTGAAGTATGCCTGTCAGATCTAAAATACGAGGGCTGCCCTCTGAGAATTCTAGTTGCCTGGCTGTGTTTGGCTTTGGTACTTTAGAGTCACAGATCTGGAACAGGCATGCAGCAAATGAAGCAGCTGGAAGAAAATTCTGACTTCTGGTTGTCATAAGTCTCTTACTTGTTCTAGCTCCGAAATGAAGCCACTGGGCCAGCATGACAACCAAGCTGCTGGCCATTTTCAGAAGAATAGCAAAGCCTGCAGATTTCTTCTTATGACAGGTTTCCTTTTTAAAGTTGTTTGTTTCTGAATATGCTCTGATTGTGCAGTGCATGGAGACGATTAAAACTTTTGGCTTTTCGAAATGTGTAATGTTTAAGGAAAACGTAAGTTTCTCTGTCCTTGCGGCCTTTCCAAGAGTTGCTAACAATACATTTATAACAATTGTGGGTTCAAATAATTTGTTGAAATTTAAAAAAAAAAAAAAAAGTTCTAAAGTGTTGGTGGTAGGTTGTCTTGATTAGTTTGGTTTGTATGCACACTGTAAAATGACCCGAGCGTGGGTGGTAGGTTGCCCTGATTAGGGATGTTTTTCGGTATCAAGTACGAATACCAATACTTTGGTACTCGCCGATACCAAATACCGATATCAGAAGTCCCATGAAGGAAGCCGGGCGGTGTGTAATGACACCGCCTGGGTTCCCGATTAGCCGGGAAGCCACCTCCATGCTCCCCCCCCCCATCACCAGGTGACGATGAAGCATTGAGCCGGCTTTCTAGGTGTAATGTTGTCTTATGGGATGTGGGAAGTTATGGTTTCCTTGGTTACGGGCACTGTGCATGTTGCCACAGAGAGCAGGAAGGGGACGTGGCACACAGAATGCTGGCAGTTAAACTGTGACCTGGAAGAGTTGGTTGTGTGACTGGAAGCAGAGGATGAACCCTGAGGTGCTGCCATACTAAATGTAAGTAACAATACTCCAAGAAATAACACTGCAGGTCCCTGCCTGGGTACACGGCATGCAGTATTTAAGGAAGGACTACTTATGGACATGCTGGCAATCTGTGTTCTCCTGCCTGGATGTGAAGAGCTCTTCTCCTCACACAAACTAAGTAAATAAGACTGCTAATTACCACTCTGTCTGAAGTTATTCACTAAAAGGACCAAAAAGAGGGGAAACACTACACTGGCCAATCGGGAAGCTGGGGGGGCGGGTAATGACAGGCCGCCCAGCTTCCAAGGGAGCATGGAGCCGTGTTTCTGGCCAATCAGGAAGCCAGTTCCATGCTCCTTGGTGATGGGGAGCATGGAACCGCCTTCCCAAACAATCAGGGAGCTGGGCAGCGTGTAATGACTCGCCACCTGGCTTCCTGTTACTGGATGTTCTGGTATTGGGATAGGCATTGGGGGCATTTGGGCGCTTTTTTTTTTTTTTGAACAATGATCAGCGTTGGAGTACTGTGTAGTTGACTCGGCATGCATTCTGTCAGGTCTATACATGAACTTGTCACAAATCCTGTTTGAAATCTTGAAATTGTATTTCGTTTTGCAGCCAATTGATGAGTTGCGAGAAGTTGTCTTTGACATTATGAGCAAAAGAAACAAGAAATCTAAAGGTAATTGTCTTCCACTTCATCTTTTTTGGCCATGAGAGTCTTGTGAAGTCCTTATGTCATGTTTCCTTTGTCTGGTGTTTTGTAGTTGTTACCTTTGGACCGTTGCCTAATGAGGACAGTGATCAGGACGATGAGAAGGATGTACATGTTCACGGGACACCATGCTCTGAAATGGGAGTGTGTGACCAGGGCTCTGCAGTCAAATTCCAGGTTACCTCGATCACCAGGTAATGGGTTCCTTTTCATTTTCATCACTCCTAAAATTGGCCATAATTCTGCAGATCTAGTTGGCCCACTTTTCGATTTCTTGGCATCGTACCTGTGTTACATTTGTAACACAACAACGGAAAAAAACATCTCTCTCTCTCATTCCTTTCTCTCTCGCTCTTTTATCCCTTTCTCTCTCTCATTCCTTTCCCTCTCGCTCTCATTCCTTTCCCTCTCGCTCTCATTCCTTTCCCTCTCGCTCTCATTCCTTTCTCTCTCGCTCTCATTCCTTTCTCTCTCGCAATCTCTCCCTCTCTCATTCCTTTCTCTCCCTCTCTCATTCCTTTCTCTCTCTCTCTCTCTCATTCCTTTCTCTCTCTCTCTCATTCCTTTCTCTCTCATTCCTTTCTCTCTCTCTCTCATTCCTTTCTCTCTCTCTCTCTCATTCCTTTCTCTCTCGCTCTTTTATCCCTTTCTCTCTCTCATTCCTTTCCCTCTCGCTCTCATTCCTTTCCCTCTCGCTCTCATTCCTTTCCCTCTCGCTCTCATTCCTTTCTCTCTCGCTCTCATTCCTTTCTCTCTCGCAATCTCTCCCTCTCTCATTCCTTTCTCTCCCTCTCTCATTCCTTTCTCTCTCTCTCTCTCTCATTCCTTTCTCTCTCTCTCTCTCGCTCTCATTCCTTTCTCTCTCGCTCTCATTCCTTTCTCTCTCGCTCTCATTCCTTTCTCTCTCGCTCTCATTCCTTTCTCTCTCGCTCTCATTCCTTTCTCTCTCGCTCTCATTCCTTTCTCTCTCGCTCTCATTCCTTTCTCTCTCGCTCTCATTCCTTTCTCTCTCGCTCTCATTCCTTTCTCTCTCGCTCTCATTCCTTTCTCTCTCGCTCTCATTCCTTTCTCTCTCGCTCTCATTCCTTTCTCTCTCGCTCTCATTCCTTTCTCTCTCGCTCTCATTCCTTTCTCTCTCGCTCTCATTCCTTTCTCTCTCGCTCTCATTCCTTTCTCTCTCGCTCTCATTCCTTTCTCTCTCGCTCTCATTCCTTTCTCTCTCGCTCTCATTCCTTTCTCTCTCGCTCTCATTCCTTTCTCTCTCGCTCTCATTCCTTTCTCTCTCGCTCTCATTCCTTTCTCTCTCGCTCTCATTCCTTTCTCTCTCGCTCTCATTCCTTTCTCTCTCGCTCTCATTCCTTTCTCTCTCGCTCTCATTCCTTTCTCTCTCGCTCTCATTCCTTTCTCTCTCGCTCTCATTCCTTTCTCTCTCGCTCTCATTCCTTTCTCTCTCGCTCTCATTCCTTTCTCTCTCGCTCTCATTCCTTTCTCTCTCGCTCTCATTCCTTTCTCTCTCGCTCTCATTCCTTTCTCTCTCGCTCTCATTCCTTTCTCTCTCGCTCTCATTCCTTTCTCTCTCGCTCTCATTCCTTTCTCTCTCGCTCTCATTCCTTTCTCTCTCGCTCTCATTCCTTTCTCTCTCGCTCTCATTCCTTTCTCTCTCGCTCTCATTCCTTTCTCTCTCGCTCTCATTCCTTTCTCTCTCGCTCTCATTCCTTTCTCTCTCGCTCTCATTCCTTTCTCTCTCGCTCTCATTCCTTTCTCTCTCGCTCTCATTCCTTTCTCTCTCGCTCTCATTCCTTTCTCTCTCGCTCTCATTCCTTTCTCTCTCGCTCTCATTCCTTTCTCTCTCGCTCTCATTCCTTTCTCTCTCGCTCTCATTCCTTTCTCTCTCGCTCTCATTCCTTTCTCTCTCGCTCTCATTCCTTTCTCTCTCGCTCTCATTCCTTTCTCTCTCGCTCTCATTCCTTTCTCTCTCGCTCTCATTCCTTTCTCTCTCGCTCTCATTCCTTTCTCTCTCGCTCTCATTCCTTTCTCTCTCGCTCTCATTCCTTTCTCTCTCGCTCTCATTCCTTTCTCTCTCGCTCTCATTCCTTTCTCTCTCGCTCTCATTCCTTTCTCTCTCGCTCTCATTCCTTTCTCTCTCGCTCTCATTCCTTTCTCTCTCGCTCTCATTCCTTTCTCTCTCGCTCTCATTCCTTTCTCTCTCGCTCTCATTCCTTTCTCTCTCGCTCTCATTCCTTTCTCTCTCGCTCTCATTCCTTTCTCTCTCGCTCTCATTCCTTTCTCTCTCGCTCTCATTCCTTTCTCTCTCGCTCTCATTCCTTTCTCTCTCGCTCTCATTCCTTTCTCTCTCGCTCTCATTCCTTTCTCTCTCGCTCTCATTCCTTTCTCTCTCGCTCTCATTCCTTTCTCTCTCGCTCTCATTCCTTTCTCTCTCGCTCTCATTCCTTTCTCTCTCGCTCTCATTCCTTTCTCTCTCGCTCTCATTCCTTTCTCTCTCGCTCTCATTCCTTTCTCTCTCGCTCTCATTCCTTTCTCTCTCGCTCTCATTCCTTTCTCTCTCGCTCTCATTCCTTTCTCTCTCGCTCTCATTCCTTTCTCTCTCGCTCTCATTCCTTTCTCTCTCGCTCTCATTCCTTTCTCTCTCGCTCTCATTCCTTTCTCTCTCGCTCTCATTCCTTTCTCTCTCGCTCTCATTCCTTTCTCTCTCGCTCTCATTCCTTTCTCTCTCGCTCTCATTCCTTTCTCTCTCGCTCTCATTCCTTTCTCTCTCGCTCTCATTCCTTTCTCTCTCGCTCTCATTCCTTTCTCTCTCGCTCTCATTCCTTTCTCTCTCGCTCTCATTCCTTTCTCTCTCGCTCTCATTCCTTTCTCTCTCGCTCTCATTCCTTTCTCTCTCGCTCTCATTCCTTTCTCTCTCGCTCTCATTCCTTTCTCTCTCGCTCTCATTCCTTTCTCTCTCGCTCTCATTCCTTTCTCTCTCGCTCTCATTCCTTTCTCTCTCGCTCTCATTCCTTTCTCTCTCGCTCTCATTCCTTTCTCTCTCGCTCTCATTCCTTTCTCTCTCGCTCTCATTCCTTTCTCTCTCGCTCTCATTCCTTTCTCTCTCGCTCTCATTCCTTTCTCTCTCGCTCTCATTCCTTTCTCTCTCGCTCTCATTCCTTTCTCTCTCGCTCTCATTCCTTTCTCTCTCGCTCTCATTCCTTTCTCTCTCGCTCTCATTCCTTTCTCTCTCGCTCTCATTCCTTTCTCTCTCGCTCTCATTCCTTTCTCTCTCGCTCTCATTCCTTTCTCTCTCGCTCTCATTCCTTTCTCTCTCGCTCTCATTCCTTTCTCTCTCGCTCTCATTCCTTTCTCTCTCGCTCTCATTCCTTTCTCTCTCGCTCTCATTCCTTTCTCTCTCGCTCTCATTCCTTTCTCTCTCGCTCTCATTCCTTTCTCTCTCGCTCTCATTCCTTTCTCTCTCGCTCTCATTCCTTTCTCTCTCGCTCTCATTCCTTTCTCTCTCGCTCTCATTCCTTTCTCTCTCGCTCTCATTCCTTTCTCTCTCGCTCTCATTCCTTTCTCTCTCGCTCTCATTCCTTTCTCTCTCGCTCTCATTCCTTTCTCTCTCGCTCTCATTCCTTTCTCTCTCGCTCTCATTCCTTTCTCTCTCGCTCTCATTCCTTTCTCTCTCGCTCTCATTCCTTTCTCTCTCGCTCTCATTCCTTTCTCTCTCGCTCTCATTCCTTTCTCTCTCGCTCTCATTCCTTTCTCTCTCGCTCTCATTCCTTTCTCTCTCGCTCTCATTCCTTTCTCTCTCGCTCTCATTCCTTTCTCTCTCGCTCTCATTCCTTTCTCTCTCGCTCTCATTCCTTTCTCTCTCGCTCTCATTCCTTTCTCTCTCGCTCTCATTCCTTTCTCTCTCGCTCTCATTCCTTTCTCTCTCGCTCTCATTCCTTTCTCTCTCGCTCTCATTCCTTTCTCTCTCGCTCTCATTCCTTTCTCTCTCGCTCTCATTCCTTTCTCTCTCGCTCTCATTCCTTTCTCTCTCGCTCTCATTCCTTTCTCTCTCGCTCTCATTCCTTTCTCTCTCGCTCTCATTCCTTTCTCTCTCGCTCTCATTCCTTTCTCTCTCGCTCTCATTCCTTTCTCTCTCGCTCTCATTCCTTTCTCTCTCGCTCTCATTCCTTTCTCTCTCGCTCTCATTCCTTTCTCTCTCGCTCTCATTCCTTTCTCTCTCGCTCTCATTCCTTTCTCTCTCGCTCTCATTCCTTTCTCTCTCGCTCTCATTCCTTTCTCTCTCGCTCTCATTCCTTTCTCTCTCGCTCTCATTCCTTTCTCTCTCGCTCTCATTCCTTTCTCTCTCGCTCTCATTCCTTTCTCTCTCGCTCTCATTCCTTTCTCTCTCGCTCTCATTCCTTTCTCTCTCGCTCTCATTCCTTTCTCTCTCTCTCTCTCATTCCTTTCTCTCTCTCTCTCTCGCTCTCATTCCTTTCTAACAATACAATCACCCGCGCCCCTACGGACCTGCAAATGAGGTGAGCATAGGGGGGCGTACGGCCGCATACCCCCATAGAGAAGAACGGGGGGCTGTGTTCTAATCGCACGCAGCACCTGTCTTTCCCGGCAGCTACTTGGCACGGAGCTGTACGTGCAGGCTGATTCGTGTGTGAATGGGGCCTAACTGATACACAAATAAGATACATTGTTGTTATCACTCGGCTGTAGAGCCTCAAATCATCTCTGAATTGGTGCAGACACTGTCCTTCCTTCTGGAGGGTGGCTACTTTTGTTCCCCATGGTCCCCGTGTGTGTTGTAAAGTAGTCACCGCTCCAAGCTCACTCCTGGGATGGACTACAGTCTCGTGTTTAGTTTACTCATTTGTATTGAGATTGCAGTCCATCACGGGTGTGGAACTACAAATCACATGAGGCACTGCAAGACTCTGACAGCCACAGGTATGACTCCCAGAAACACGATGAAATTTGTAGTTTTACCGCAGCTGGAGTGTCGAGGTTGTCTACCATGGGTATAAATCTTCTCCACCTAATCCAAAACGAGTTATATGAACATTGACCCATTGTGTTGTCTGGATGCCCTGGCTGATGGATCCATGGTGAGTCTACCTGCTAGGTGCGAAGGGGTGGCTACCCCTGCAGCAGATGATGCTAAAGGCTTGCTTTGTGGTGCATGTAAAATGTTCATGTTGTACATTATAATACATCAGAAGAGTGATCGACATACTGTTCAGTCTTATTTGATAGAAAAATACCCTTTTAATCTGCGTTTATCTGATGTCCACTTTTTGCATATGCAGCAAGAAGAAAAAGGATGGAAGCAGACAGGAATGGAAGTGTCTGACTCCAGTGCGGAGGTCACTGCGGATCCATCAGTCGGCGGGTCAGTATCCGCAGGTAGTAAAGGAACATGACATTGTGATGGCTTCTCTGGAGGGGGTCATGGACATGTCTGACACAGAGGCTTACCTGTATGTGAGAAATGAAGCTCTCCCAGAGGAAGCAGATCACCCCATCCTTAGTATGGTAAAGCAGGACAGCTCAGAGGGTGAAGTGTGATGTAAATAAAAACTTGTGATTAATATCAGGTCAACCTAAAGGTAATTTAAACGAGCTTTATGGGGCACAGACATCTTGGAACAAGACACTTGTTTATTAGCCACCTAAAATCTGACGTGTGATTCAGGTTTGACTAATGTAACCATACTACAGGCTGGGTAAGAAGAAAAGGTGGAATGCCGGGTGTGTTTACTATCATAAGTATATCTCACGGGATAAACGTCAGCTGTAAAATGTTCGCCTTTTCCCAGTGTCATAAATGACAGTGACATACAAAATTCACTTATGACCTTAAACTGTATGAGATCATTCAGAGCCAATTGGGAGGAGTGCACTGGAAGTGACTACTGTCTCGGAAAGCAGGCAGCACGCTATGTGCCAGGACATTGGCCATCAACACTCTTCCTGTCATTTTATATATGACCAGAAGACCGATACCCTCATCCTGATATAAGTATATAGGGGCTATGCAGCTGATGAACACAATAACATATATTTGTGTTATGCTGTGTGTTCAGATAGAGAAGTGTGTAACTGTATAATATTAGCACTGCATCTGAAGTGCAGAGCCACTATAAGGTGCACCCGAGCCTGTGGCCAGATATGGTATTTGTTTTACCTGTAGAAGTGTGCACAGAGCCATGCCCAGTTGTGTGCACTTCAGTAGTGCATATTTTTCTCATACTGTGTGCATTTTAGGAAAAGGGTTTCAATAAACCCTTAGTCTGCAAATATAAACCTATTTTTGCAGGAGTGTGAGGTTTACAAGGAGAACACACAAAAGAAGCACCGCTGCTCCTCGGCTCAGGAAAGGAATGAGCCGGGTACTTGCAGCTGGGAGCACGTGTCCTCCCTCCATAGCTTGCACCACATCACTGGTGTCCTGCTCCAGGTCGCCCCCCCCCCCTCCCGCCTCTGACGCGTTTCACCCAATCATGGACTTGGTCATAGAGCTTTTTTTCTGTTTGTGTGGTGTTTACAGTTTAAAAATGGAGAAGTGTATTAACAGTATTAGGACTATAAGAAGTGCTCTGTCACCATCAGGCGATATAGACCATATGCATGGTCAGGGTTGTGCTGTGTTCCAGGAGCTCACATATAATATCAAGTCTAATCTTGGACCTATCAAAGAAATCTGACTTGTAGGAGAAGTCCTGGATGAAAGGTCTGTCTCCCCAGTATGGCTCTTGTAGCGTTCTATCCATCCATGGAAGACCGAGCCTACTTCGAGGAGGTACTTTGCTATATAAACTCCTCATCTGAGCCTAATGGTATGTGCTGCCTAAACCTTTTCTGCTGATGTAGGGTGCACGCGTCTCTGATGCTTTGTGTGCATTCTATGGTATTGATCCTTTAACACAGCGATACCAAAGAACATTAAAATTGATTCTTTATAAGAACCATTAGGTGTATTGACCTGAATTCAGTACATAGGACATCATTACCTGTAGGGGGTAGAGATCTGCTCGCTCCTGTAAAAAGCTCTGTGGAGATATCTGTAAAAAATAAGTCAAGGCAACTGGACTTGCTGTAATTTTCTTGAAGATGTTTCACTGGTCAGCCAACCAGCTTTCTCCATTCAGAATGACTTGTACAAAAAATTATCTGAGAATAAATATGGAGACTGTCGCTCCAATCCATATAATCTGTTAGTCACAACCAAGTGTTGATTTCATTTGCATAATTTCACCTGGTTGTGACTAGCAGATTGGAGCAACATTGACCGTATTTATTCCCAGATCAATTTTTTGTACAAGTCATTCTGAATGGAGAAAGCTGGTTGGCTGGCCGGCCACTGAAACGTCTTCAAGAAAATTACAGCAAGTCCAGTTGCCTTGACTTATTTTTTACAGATATCCCCCGACCTGGATGAATGAACCTTCACAGACACTCTGTGGACAGAGACATGACTCCTTTACTCTGCCATGTAGCAGAAGCTCTTTATACATTGTATCCTACACGGGACACCCTTTTCTTCAGGACTCTGGAGAGTAAACTATTTTTGTATTTTGCACTTCTTTTTTTTTTTCTTAACATGCAAATCTTTTTTTTTTTCTTAACATGCAAATCTTTAAGGTATTTTTTTAAGATCCTTTTTCAGTGTTTTTAGTAAAGTATTGTGTATTGTACTTTTTATATGTGTGTGCATATATGAAATATGGATATCAAACCACTTCCTTGAAAGATTTGGAGGGGAATTTATCAAATCTGGAGCAGCTGTGCACAGCAACCAATCAGCTTCTCTGGTTCGTTTTTAAATCTCAACTGGGCAACTGCTCCGGTTTTTGATAAATTCCTCCCCTTGGAGTTTGTTACTTGCTGAAATTCACGGTGGAGGCTGGTATTGTTTTTAAACAAAAAAAATAAATAAAGTATTTCCGGTAATCATTAACAGACTGAATTTTTTTTTGGGGCAAACAAGGTTTTATAAAAAGTTTTTAGAACAAAGAACAGAAAAAAAGAAAAGGTATAAACAGAGCTGATGTTACAGAATCGGTTATGCATCCAGCGTAAGTAGTAGGGGGGTCAAAATTTCAAGTCCTGAGCTACCAGCCAGGCCTTTAGAGTTACTCGCCATCAGTTGCCCACCCTCCTGTGTCCTTAACTCCGCCCCTAAACACACCCTCTTAAATCTTATCAAAGAGACTGTTACATGTTTTATGCCAAATAAAGTTACAAGAATAAATATTAGCATTACCATAAAGCTCCCTGCCCATCCCCACATTCTCCCCTTGTTCCCTGCCCCCACAATGTAAAATAATACAATGAAGCCCCCCTCACCTGCTTGTCTTTGTGCAGAGAGGAGGTGAGCAGGCAGATCCCTGGTGATCTAGGGTGATTAGTAAGGTCTGCAGACCTTACTAATCACTTTGTTTTTGACCCGGAGCTCATTGACGATCTCTGGCCGAAAGGAAGGGAGACAGACCAGCAGGAGCAGCTGCTCCCACGATTCATATACGTGGTCTGAGACCGCAAGCCCGACAGGAATTTCCACTCACCTGCACTGCATTTCCACTCGCCAAATGCGAGCAGGCGAGTGGAAATTTTGAACCCTGATCTAGAGGACCTGAACATGGTCGTACGCTGGTGCTAGCTTTAACAGTAATGCACTCTCCGGGGTAATAATATACTGCAAGGAAACATGAGAAGATCATAATTTAAGAAATCAAAAGAAAAGACGTTGACCCCAAGATCAAGAAGGAAAAAAGAAAGAAAAGGGAAGGGCATTAGACCAAGGAGAAAGAAAACGAAAATACAAAAAGGGAAAGACGCTCCGGAGAGAGAGAGGACAAGGAATGGATGAAGAGAGAGAAAACAGACCACAGAGAGAAGACACGGGAATTACCGAAAAGAAAGTGAGGTAGTGGTCAGAACCCTAGTTTAGCTTGTCCCTTAGACCCCATTTACACTGAGTGATTTGTTGCGCGATTTCCGCTCAAATATCGCTCAATGGAGCTCGTCCAATGCATTTCAATGGAGCTGTTCACATCTCGCAGCTCAATGTAGCTTGAAGCTCAAGTTTGTTGCTTGAACATGACCTATTTTTCCAGCGGATTTTGTGCGATTTGGCCCCCATAGGCTTTGATAGACTGCCAATGTCGCTCAGTTCAAAATCAGCGCTGAGAAAACGCTGGTTTTGATGTAGCTCAGTGTGAATGGGGTCTTAAGTTATTAGACAAGTGACCCACCCAGACCAGATTTCCCCAGGAACTTCTGTCTGCCGTTTGTCTTCCGCTATCAGGCCCTCTGTGTTCACTATCTCGTTCATAACAGCTGCCCATGTGGCCGAGGAGGGAGCCGCTGTAGATTTCCATCCTGGAAACTGGAGGGACATGGATTGTGCAGCACAATAGATCTCCTCAACTTTCTACCAGAAAGGTTGTATTTTATCACAACTCCACCAAAAATTAAGGCATGTACCTGTTTCCTTCAAGCATCTCCAGCACCTGTTGGGAGGATGGGGAGATACGGTGAAATGTACCCGGACACCTGTATCACCCTGAAAGAACTTTATAGTACTTTTCTTGAAGGTGAGTGGAAATAGAGACAGTGTGAACATATAAATATCCTCCTCCGATAGACCCAGATCCCTCTCCCAAGCAAGCATGAAGGACGCAGACTCCCAGCAAATCCTCTCTCTGTTTTTAATAAAAGTTTATTGACAATTCCAAAATATGTGAACAATGTATATTAATGCCAAAAATATCAAAATGGAAACATGACAAAGGCAGCTCTGAATAGATGTTACATAGAAGGTATCACCACAACTGATTGTACCGTGTACACTGCATCCAGTGTGTTGGCACGAAGATAAAACAAATTCATGATTCGGAATACACGACGTTAAAGTGGAGCTTCCTCCTTGATAACAAAGGCACCTTAGTCTAGCAATGGGAATCTCCGAGCAGATACTTATAAGCGGCTTATTATTCTCTGTATACCTTTCTTTTTTTAAAGGGCAGATAAATCCATCTCCCATTACTTCCTGGAACTCTGGCACATGTGACATGACAGTGCACATCATCTGAGGGGGTAAAACATTTCCCCTGAGATTTTTCAGTTTACAGATGAGATTTCCCAGGAAGGCGCTGGTGATTCTTCCTAGGAAGCATCTGTGAGGCCAGGGCTACATCACCAGTGCCTCACTCAACCAGGAAGAGAAAAAACAGTGATTGTAAGTAAAAGAAAAAAATGTTTGTTTAATGAATGTAAGATGATTTCACATCAGCAAGCAGAGCCCCATGCTGGTGCGATTTCTCTAGTGAAAGGGGGTAAATGTCCGCTTGAACTCCTGACCAAGAAAACCTTTCCTTAGAGACCCATCGGGGCTGCCATTGCCAAGCCCCTTCTGAAGAGTGTAGTCCAGGGGTAGCCAGACCCCGGCCCTTCAGCTGAGGTGGAACTACAAATCCCATGAGGCATTGCAAGATTCTCACAGGCATGACTCCCGGAGAGAGATGCATCATGGGATTTGTAGTTTCACTACAGCTGGGGGGGCT